CTTAAACACAGTGCAAACTTGTCTGCACAGTGACGCAAAGTTGCAAGATCTGAGACCACAAAGGCATAATCCTCATTCTTGAAATTACTATGTCGTGGCTTTCCTATAACTTCTCCTCTGGCTTTTTTTTTTTTTTTTTACAATTTACTTTGTCTCCTGAAATTCTTTATCATACACCCTTTGTTATATAATTATGATATTTCTTAAGCAAGGAGAACAAGCTGCCTCTAGTGACTGCCACCACCCATAATTCACTAAAGCCAGTGATGATAAGGTCAAATCCAAAGCAGAAAGATGGCTGGCTGCATCGTACAAGCATTACCAATTGTCAGTTTTACAAAGATTGACAAGTGTAACAAATCAATAGTGTGCCAAGAGTGAAAATACCACATTCAGATGACAGCCTCATATAAGGTGAATCTGTCCCATCATACATGGTGATTCCTGTTCGCAGTCGGTGTAGCTTTTGCCAACAGCTGCCTCTGATCTTTTAAGGGATCTCCTGTCACCCTCCAGCTGTTTCAACCTGATGAAAACTCCTGGGGAAAATTCCTTTAGGTTTTTCTCTGATAATCAAAGACTGAAGGAGCCACAACTGAACCTTCATACAAACAATAAGCCATGGTTGAATCTTACCCCAATGGGCCTAGTCAAAGATCTACAAGCCTGGACACCCTAAGGATGCTTGCATGAGGAAGCCACAGAATGAGCAAGTCCAGTATTCTTAATGCATGAGAGTAATGACCACGAGAGCTAAGGCACTAACAAATCAACAAAGCGGTACAATCAAAAAATCTGCACACACTGCTTCAAATCCAAGTGGCCATCAACTGCAAAAATAAGGGGAGTTATTATATTGCTTGGATATAGACATAATCAGTTGCTGGGAAAACTTCCTATAATGTCCTTTTTTGGTATCACAGCAAGGGTGAGCATTTCCAAATTTCATCTATGTTCTGTCCACAGCTCTCCAGCTATTCAACCCAGCAGCAATCAATGTTCTGTGCAGCGAATGGGATTGCTTTCCTCTGGACAGAACTAGATAGGGGTGGGAGGAATGAAGAAGTGGTGAAGAGACTGGGATAATGGGATATACTCTGCTGGAAACTGTTTCTGGAACACAATTATTTGATCCTGTCAAATCAGAAAATGTTAACGTTTGTGCCCATCTTAATAAAAACATATTAAGTTACATGTCGATTCCATCCACAGTATGAAA